GTGTAGTACATGGGGTATATGATACAAAGTCCATAGTATATTGGTGTTTTTGTATTTAACCCTTAATATTATCTGTATGAAAGAAAGATACATGTTCGAATTGACTATATTGTGAAAATTGACACTGTTTTTTTCCTGCCATGTTAATAGTAATATATTCCCAATTATTTATCAAATTGAAAATTATACTCCATGAATTTCTTGTTATTTTTTTAGCTTTTTTTTTTTCACTAAATTCATTGATAATAAATTTTATGATATTTAATTTTATTAATTATATACTAATTAAAACACAAACTTTCTCATGATTATACTAATAATTGAATAACATAAGTTAAGTTTAATCAATTGATAAAATAATAAACGAATTGATTTTATAAATGAATTGATTTTATATATTCCACTAATAAGTATTTCACTATAACCCATATAAATATAATTAAATATATATCTAGAGCAACTCCAACCCAAAAGTATCAAAATGAGTTTGTAAATATTTATGTAATATTTAATATTTTATTTTGATATTTATCTAAATGTATTGGCTCCAACCATATGTATTAAATTGTTGTTAATTAAAAATAAAAATAGAGGGAACAAAGTGGACTCGACTCTGGAGAGGCGAATGAATCAAGGCAAAGCATCGAGGCAGCTGTATTGCGAAGGCAAAGACCGACAACAAGACTATTCGTCTTTCTACTATAACATTAGTTTTTTTATCTTAACTGCTATGAATTACTATGTTTTACAAACGTTTCTGGTTATGGTTATGTTGATTAATATTGTGAGTAGCTAGTTTTATTTCTAGGATTTTATTGAATCCCATGTGGATATTTTGAACCAAGTTTTGAAAGGTTATACAATAGTTGATTTCCATGTTCATTTGTTATGCTTGAATTAATTGTATGCACATGATTGACCAATCTATGCTATGTGGATCCTTATATAATTATCTGCCAATTAATTGTTAAGAATTGAACTATAAGTACAAGAATACGACTACCGCCCTCGTTCGGAAGATTCAGACTCACGTTCATTTAGCTATGTTCATGCAATACCCGGAACTGACTACCAGCAGTGGGGGCCGCTTTATCGTTGGCCATGTAGACGCACACTAGGGAGAGGGGACCTAACCCCAATTGGCGGCTAGGATTTTCAACTATTATGTTTCCCGTTTTTATGTTTTTCGATAGTTAGATGATTTCTATTGTTTTCTCAATTCCCTCGGGTATGCCCGTTGTAATTTTCTACGACTTTTTTTTTTTTATATTATTTACATCTTTGATAAAAAAAAAAAAAAGACAAGCATTATCTATTGTTTATCAAATTGTATGGAAATGGAAAATTAACTGGACATAACGGGGATGTTTGGTTATGTTTCTAATGGGATTTTCTAGTTTGCAAAATTTCTGATGGAAAACTAGATGTGTTGGTTTTTGTGTAGAAAATGAGAATATGTTTGGATGAAGTAAAATTTTTATTTTTATATAGGTGTGAAAATGAGAATATGTTTGGTTGGGGTGAATTTTCTCTACGAAAGTACGTGCAAAAGTAGTATATATATATGATTGAATATGATGATGATAAGTTTGCCTTTTGGACTAAGTTGAGTTTGCTTTTTTAAAACACCATAATGTTTTTGAATCACTTATCAAGATGCCTCTTTGCAATCATGTTCTAATGAAGAAATTTGATTTGCAAAAGTCGCTTGATATGAGGGATGTGTTCTTTCATTTTTTAAAATAAATATTTCTATAAAATACGATATATTATTGATATATTGTTGGAGGTGTTTGCGTATATAAATTTATAATATGATTTAATTTAGTTTGACAAAAATTGCAATGTCTCGAACGCCCTTCTGCAAATCACGATATTGTTCACGATGATAAAGCACTATAATGTTTTTGAATCACTTATCAAAATGCCTCTTTGAAATCAAGTTCCAATGAAGAAGTTTGATGTGCAAAACTCGATTTACTTTTTTAAAATAGTTATTTTTATAAAATAAGATATTTTAGTGATATATTGTTGGAGGTGTTTGCGTATATACATTTATAATAGGATTTAATTTACTTTAATGAAATTGATCAAGGTTGATCAATTGACATATATCTATATTATTGTATTTGTTGGACTTCAACCCTATAGATGGAAGACAACAAAAGAAATAGAGATTAAAATTTAGGGGGCTTAAGATATAGGTCCCTGGTGAAAAAACTAATTAGAACTAAATGACAAGTCAAATTAAACATTTGCTTCACATCATTTATTAATTTCATTCAAAAAATGCCCTTCCACTCACAAATTCGAAATTTGCATTGAGTAAACTTCAAACTGCATTTATCATTTTTTACTATACATTTAATATCTTATTTTTTCATCTAACATATTTTATTTTATTATTATAGACTTTGTTGTCTTTATTTTTTCGTTTTTCACTCTAGCATTTTTTATATTGTTATAAACAACTTTTTTTTTTTTAATTTTTTTTTTTTTTAACGTTTTACTGAAAATTACGTTTTTTTTTTTTCATTTTTGTTAAATAAAACAGCAGATTTTAAAATACTATGGTATACTATAATTTACGATATTGAAAATTGTGAATGTTTTAAAAAAAAATCGGTCGTAATCGACTGTAGACACCTATAGGAACCATAGTATTGAACCCTAGTCGCTACCCATTCGTATACACTCATAGTAATTCATAGACACCCGTAGTAATTCGCACTCATCCAATATGAAACCCTAGATCCGCCACCACCACCACCTCCACCACCGTCCTTTTTCTCTATATTTCACTTTCCATCTTAATTAGCCTTCCCCTTCTCCAAACCCAACATCAAATTCTAACAAAAAAATTATTGTCGTCATCGAAGAAAACCACCACCGATGCCAGCGACCAAAACCGTTGCCGCCCCCACCGACCAAAACCACCATCGCTCGCCGCCCCAGCAACGAAAATCGATGTCGCCCCGAACGACCAAAACCACCCCCGCCCCCAACGACCAAAACCACCATCGCCCGCCGCCCGCCGCGATCAAACCACCGTTGCTCGCCGCCCCTAGCGACCAAAACCACCGCCGCCCGCCGCCTGTCGCGCCCACACCAATATCTTATCTAAAAAACTCCTACAACTAATACCCCCAAGTCAATGAAAATAGAGAAACGGAGAAAGAGAGAGATAGAGAGAAAGAGAGAAGAAGAGCTGGGTCAATGAAGAAAGAGAGAAATAAGGGTATGGTGGGGGTGATGGAAAATTGAAAAAGTTGAGAAAAGACCACGGTGGCGGCGGATGAGAGAGGGGGAGAGATAGAGAAATAAAGAAATAAAAAGAGAGAAGGAAATGTTGATTTTTATTAGGTCTAATAAGGGTATTTTTGGGTCTAATAAAAATAAAAGGATATTGGTCAAATTTGATTTTCATCTAAGGATTTAATTAAAATGTTCTATTTGAGGTTGTCTCTCTCTATAATTAGGTTTGGTTTGAGGGGTATCTCCAATATTAACCCTAAAATTTAAAAGTAACCTCATATCCTATACTCTTCACTAGTTTAAGTTTATGAACATTAGTTAATATATATTTAGTAACTATTAATCAAAGAAAAAAATACATAATAATTTTATATTAATTTTTTTCCACTTATTTGATAGTTATAATTGTCATTTATTTTATTTTTTTATTTTATTTAATATAATCAAGTTTAATAAATGCGTTAAGTATTCAGACTTTTTGGCGCCAAATCTACGTATGTTTCCCCACTAAAATTGTCATTTTACTTAATATTAATGTTATGGAAAATTTACTTAATTGTTTAGAAAAACATTTGGTTCTTATTTTACCAATAAAAGTAAGGTTGTTCCTGATAAACTTTTGGGATTTAATGGCATCATTGATTTATAGTAAATTTATTCAGGCATGTTATGGGTGATAAAGAAGAAGATTCGTTAAAATTCTACATTAACTGAGATAATATAAATATACAATCATATGACATAAAAAATATAAAGTTAAATTAATAAATAAGGCTTATGGAGGGGGATTATCATCAATACATATAGCAAAACATAAAAATGAATTGAAACTTCAATTTTGTCATTTAAATTGAAGTTTACTTTTGTATTATTTTTACTTCAATCCCGTGCATCGCACGGGCCAAAAGTCTAGTTAAATAAAAAATAAGGTCAAATACAATTTACACTCCTTTACTGTCACCAAGGTCGCATTTAACGGTTAACGCTTAAATCTCTAACACAATTAGTTTATGTAGGTAGTTACCTTTTTACCCTTACATTTCTATGATATAAATAGGCATTCTTTGATTTTATTACTTGGCCGTGTTTTTTTCACCTTATTACATAACAATCCGGTGGCATCGACAAGGGGTTCTAGAAAAATATGTCTTGTAGTGTTTGGAGGTAAAAAATGAAATGCATGAATTCTGAGGATTAGAACCACGGGAAGCATTTTTAAGGCTGAAAGTTCAAAAAAAATAATAAATCATATATGTAAAAAGGAAGTGAAAAATATTATCCGAAATAAAAGGAACTCATAAATTTTGGGTGATATTTTTAAACTGGGAACATAAATGTAAAATTTCATAAATTTAAAATGATATTATAAATAATTTTCAGAATATAATTTATTTTTAGAAAATTTGGTGAAATTTTTAGGTTGTGGAAAATAAAATTAAAAAACATGAAAAAAAAAAATGAGAGTAAATTAAGTACAAGAGAAAAAGAAAGAGGCACACTTTTTATACATAACCACCACATGAATATTTTCGCCTTAAATTGTCCAACATCTAGTGCAGCGGTTAGTCTACTTAGAAAATGGACGGATTTTTTAACATAGGTTAACGGCAGGGGCCGCTTTGTCGCATTTTATAGTACATGGGGTATATGTAGTACTGGGGGTATATGCGACCCTGGTGATAGTATCGGGGTGCAATTTGTACTTAACCCTAAAAAATATATACACAATATATGTAACAAAAACTCCAACAAAAGAAATCAAACTTAGGGTGGAGAAAACAGAGGATACTACAAGAAACAGGAACTTGATAATGAACATGGACACGAAAACAACAGAATCGCAGAAGAAACCTAACCGGTTCATCTGTACCTGAACAAATGATACAATATAACTATTTTTCCTTCAGCCTGAAACTAACTAAGGCTATCAAAACTATAAAGACAATGCAATACCAGTAGCGGTCCAAACTCGACAAAATTTGTATGCATAACTTAACAAAACTATACAAGAGGAAATGTTTTCATACCCAAATTGCTGCGAACATTTTTACAAGTTTAAACTGGAGATTTTTTTGGTTTAGGGGCTGCAAGGATCACTTAAAAGGGGCTGCGATGCTAGACCTGCAATTAACATAGGCACTGATAATATTAGAATGGCGCGCTGACAAGTAAAATGCAACTATAATATGTAACAGAGCAACTAAAAGTTGTACAAAGTAAAAAACATGCAAAACTGCTTGTTCACTGATCGCATATAGGAGATTTCTCCTTTCATAAGACAATAATTTTTTTAATGCATGATATGACGCTAATGCGTAATACACGCGTACTAGAACTTGTAACAGTCAAAAGAAGAACTATAGGCAGAGGACTCGGCAAAGAAGTCCAAGATATACCATACAACATCCTCTAAAGTACAGGCGATCTACTTATATTTATTTTCCAAGTATTACCTATTTGTTACTATGCTAATAGGATTGCATTTAAATCCGCATAATCTCAAAGTTCATATTGCTCAAGAATGAAGTGAAACGGGGGGCATCAGACAGTGTCAAGATATTGACAAACATAAAACTATTATAGACAATAATAATATATATCCGAGATGCTTATGATTCTAACTAGCAGCAACGAGGCACTTGTTTAATAGAAGTTACATATGCCTGAGACTTTGGATCCCATGTCATAAAATCTTAAGAGGGATTAGAAGTCACAAAAGACTCAGATAGATATACGTTTATTCATGCATGCAGATAGAATTGCTTTTTGAATCATACATTGAAAAGATGATGCCAAGGAGAAAAACTTATCTAGAAGCAAAATAAGAAAACATTACCTGCAGAATTGTTTTGCTCGCTGGACAAGTGTTTGGGGAACTTCTCTCTTATTTCGTTTATAACCAAATGAGTTAAAAGGACACCAGCAGCAAAAGCACCAGCAATTAGCATATAAAAAACTTGATCCCAACCCTTTGAGGAAAGAAAGCCAGTCAAAAGTGGACCAATGGCAGCACCGACAGAACCAGTACCATCAATAATGGCAGTAACTGTAGCCAGTGCTCGAGAATCGCCTCTTAAAGAACTGTGAGTGCCAAGATCAGCAGATACAGCAGTTGTGATAAGTGCGTACGGACCATTCACAAGTAAGCCAGCTATCATCATAAGAACAACATTGCTCACTTTTGAAATGCTTCCGTATTTTCGGTACAGAAGAATTGCAGGTATTGCAGCATACATGAAGCTCGCAGCTGTGGTGGCACGTGCTCGAAGTTTGTCGGAAATATAACCAGCCAGAATTCCACCGATTATTCCTCCAACATCAAATAGGGTAGAGAGATTTCCAGCAGACTTCACCGACATATACTGTCCCTCAATAGCTGTTACAATATGTCAATTATCCGAATGAGGATGGGGAAATGAAAAACAACTCAATGAAAACAAACTTAAGAATGTATGAAGCTCACAAAGATCTATTCATGACTGTAATCATAAAATTACAAAATGTTTCAACTGCAAATATTTCATGTCATTTGCAGATTGAGCAAATACCGTAACTCCGTAAGCGAAGGTCGCTTATAGATTTGAGCTTGTCGAACCTTTGATTCCCAAATGTATTCCGGACACAGTTCAAGTAGTGTGAATATGATTTCGGTGTAATTTAACTAATCCCATTCTATAGCAGCACATATTTGATAACTAACATCTAGAAGGATTGTAGTTATCTTATGTAATCAGGGATATTACCGAAACATGTGTCAAGTAATCCATTGGAACTGTAGTCTAGGAATGCAAACAATCAACCAAAAAAAAAATTGCAACCTAAACTCCAGACTTGGTTAAAGAAAAACTAAAACAACCAAAATCAAATACAAGCAAGGAGGAAGCTGAAACATTCTCTGTACTGCCAAACAAGGAGGAAGCTGAAACAGTTCAATTGGTTGAAATTTATGGAAAATTTACGTACATAAATACATGCCAAAACAGTTCACCTGCTTCAGTACGACTACATTTGATCTTAAGAGAGATTCATGTATTTTATTAGCAATCCACTTTCTCATTCTTGCATGTACCTCTACAATGGAGATGCAAGAAGATACTCCTGTAATTTGAAACTGTCTTCAAACAAGGTCTGAATAATGAAGTAGATACGATCTTGGGCTCTATCGTATTCGACTTACTATCTGGTATTTTTTCCTTAATGGACAACATGTTTCCTGATTTCCAACAACTAGTCACTTGCAATGGATATATGCCCAACAGAAATGTTTTAATTAATCGTGTCGGAATGTCCTATGGTTCTGAATTACACTAACACTACTATAAACAAGTCTTAACCATCAATTCATGAATACTGAGATATAAATAACAGTCCAAATCAAGAAAAACAAGTACACATCTAAAATACGAAAACAAGAAAGTTTCTGGGAGTTGGCGAAATACCAGTTTGGCTAAGGTAGAAAGGCAACCAATACAGAAACGTGTAGGCGACGAGCTTTGCAAAGAAGAGGCACAGCGCAAACGGAATAACTCCAGGTATTAAACAAGCCTGTAAAAGTCCAATACTTGTTCTATTCACAGAATTCTCTCTATTCACAAGCAAACGCTCTTTCGATACCTGAGATTCCTCGTCCGCTGCGACATCCCCATTCGGGATCGGGAATCCAACATCTTCAGGATAAGCAGCCAAGAACAGAAACACCATTATCCCACTTAGGATTATAAACCCCCCAGGAAGAATAAAAGACCACCCCCACCCATACTGCAAAACACTTGCAGCAAGCAACGACCCCGTAATATTTCCGATCGAAGTGTGGGCATTCCAAATCCCCATAATCAATCCTCTCTTCCTTTTCCCGAACCAATTACCGATAACAGCAACAACCGAAGGCCAACCGGTGGCTTGAAACAAACCAGCAAGCATTTGCATCAACAAAAAGAACCAGAAAGCATGAATATCCCAAAAATAACCCATCCCGAATAATCCGACGAAGAAACCACTGCAAACCATCCCGGTAGTCAAGAATATACGAAGGTCCAATTTATCACCCAAATGCCCTGCACCGTACATCCCAATCGCGTAACAACCGAGAAATGCCAAATCAATTCCGCCCAATTTCGAAGTCCCATCCTTCCCATTGAAAGGAGGCCAACCCATGTGTTTCCTAAATTCGAATTGCTCTACGCTGCTCGTGTTTACAATGGCGGATTCTCGCTTGATAAAGATATCGCCGGCGGGCCAGGGGCGAAACCCGACCGAATTGCCGCTCGGGTCCGGATCCAGGACGCTTTTGACTATACTACTGGGTTTCCGAGAAGCGTGGTAAGCGGTGTATGCGATGAATGTGACCAACAGAACGGCGTATCTGTATGTGGTTACGCTCCAATCTGTACCCCTGATTCTCCTAATTAACGAAATTCCAGGAGGGTATTTGTTGTAATTATCCATATCAGTACTTCTGCCTCTCGACATCTTCACAATTGCATAATTTTACATCAGAATCAACGTTATTTGAAGTGAAAAAAAAACGAACGCTGGTTAGAAAGGGCTGGAATTTACAGTATCGACAAATGACGATTATTCTTCATCCTGATTTTTTATTTTGCTTTTTTTTTTTTTCAATTTTGTGTATGAATGGGATGGGAGGTGTGTACGGCATGTTAGAGAGAGAGAGAGAGAGAGAGAGAGAGGGGAAGGGAAATGGGGAGAGCGAGGTTGGCGGGAGAAGAGAGAAGAATGCGTGAGGGTGGAGGGACACGTGGCGAAGGCATGCACATTTTGACTCTGCGCATACGGCCCGACAGTTACTTTATTCATTGGAGACCCCCAGACTTGGAGATATTTCTAAAACATACTACTAATTCTTTATAATTAAAACTCATTAAATGTATTTACTTTTTTTTTTTTGGTTTCTTGCACTTTGCATCCTTAAATTACACCATTTTGGCACTTTGCATCCTTAAATTGCAAAATTGGCAGATTGCACCCTTTAAACATAAATTGTTTGGAACTTTGCACCCCATATCACTTTTGGCTTAGAAAACTTACCTGCAACTTGCTGGGAAACCTGGAAGATGGGCAAATTCATAATTTTCTTATTATCTATCCTCTTCCTTCAATTCTTAATCATCGTTCCACCATTTTTCACTTTCGTCCCTTCAATAAAAAAATCCTAAATATTTTTAGCCATTTCTTTCAATGGTAAATCGGTATAAACACTAACAATAATAGTAAATCATTTTTTTTTTCTTTTGAGTATGAAAAATAATGTAACTGGAAATTTTAGGCCGAGCCCTCAAATTTCTTTTTTTTGAATAGTAAAATGACAAAATAAGGCTACTGAGAGGTTTATTTGGTGGTAGAAATGTGGTGCCTATTAGTTTCATGATTGAAGGATTTTTGTGCTTCCATTGAATAGTTTGGATCTGCAAAATTATTAAAAAAAAAAAATAGTGTTACCATGTAATAAAACTTGATTTTCTGAAGGTGTGTTATCGGACTCTTGTCCATATATATTCCGACCATTCTTGAGTTTTAGTTAAGAATTTACATATTATGGCAAATAGAAATGGCTAAGAAGAATTTAGGATTTTTTGATTAATATGACGAAATATAAAAATTGTGGAACGATGATTAAGAACTGCGGGAAGATGATAGATAATAAGAAATTTGCGAATTTGCCCATCTTTCAGTTTTTCAACAAGTTGCAGGTAATTTTTCTAAGCCAAAAGTGATTTGGGGTGCAAAGTGCCAAACAAATTTTATTTAAAGGGTGCAATCTGCCAATTTTGTAATTTAAGGATGCAAAGTGCCAAAATGGTGTAATTCAAGGGTGCAAAGTGCCAAAAACCTTTTTTTTTTTTTTTTGACAGTGTATTTACTTTTTTATTTATCAATTAAATAATGTCTGTTGATAATTTACTGGTACATGGAATGCACGGGAAAGCTGAAAGCATTATAAAAGTGGAATTTTTTTTTTTTTTAATATTGGACAAAGATAGAAAATATATTACTCTATCATAATAAACTTTATTATTAGTGATACTAGTAATCGTACCCGTGCGATGCACGGGGAGACGTTCGCACACGGTGACATTCAAAAATGAGGAAAATAGTGATTTAAAATTATGATCTAAAACATAAGTATTTATTTGAAGAAAATATTAGGAGCAAGTGTTGTAACTACTGCAAAAAATAAAAGTGCATTTAGACTACATAACTAAAAACTAACATAAAAGTAAAGCATAGAGCTAAATGTGCATAAGAAGTTAAAAATCTAAATATATATTTAGCCAATAAAATCTAAATTTATATGCATATTCTTTCATATCATAAAATCAATTTTTGTTTTGCATATTCTTTCATATCTTACATAAATAACTTTAAAGTACATTCAAAACGAAAGCACATGAATAAAAAAAATACTATGTATATATTTTTTATAGTTGGCCTACAACCGATCCCAAAATCTCTTCCGTAAATAGTTTTAACTTATATTCAAAACGATCACATATGAGACGAATAAAAAAAAAGTTTGTATTTTTTATAGTTTGCCTACAACCAACCTCAAAAGCCTACAGTATAACTCCCAACTCCTCCAAGACCAATCACCACAACAAATGAGGAAATCACTTTTTTTAATTGTTCCAATTCAAAGAATTGAATTTCATTCAATCGATAAAGTTTGAGCATAATGAAAATGTAGATTTTGTAGGTTTCTACGCTGTCCTTATTCTTCTTTTCTCCGACTGCCATCCTTGTGAAGCTTCTTCTCGGCCTTAGGTAACAAAGTACACCATCTTCTCTATTGTTGTTTTCAACTAAAAAGTTCATTCATAAGCAGAACCTACATGTTTTTTTTTTTTTTTTTTTTGTTAATAGAAAAGCAAAAGCACAAAAACTAAAAAATAAAAAATAATAATAATGCATATATAGTTCAACTTGAGAGAGAGAGAGAGAGAGAGAGAGAGAGAGGGGGGGGGGCAATTTCTAAGTGAAAGGAGAAGCTAGAAGGAAGATGCAAACAAATATAAGGACACTGAATAACGGAAAATATTTATATAGGAAATAAACCGCTGCAATTATTAAAAGCTGGCCTTTTGATATGATTGTTAAAAGCATAATATTCAAGTCTTCGCTCATTGCCTTTTTTAATTGTTGAGACAAATAAATCAGAAGCTTCATTGACGTAGCCGAAGTTCTAATTTATGTGACATGGAAGAAAAAGTAATGTAATAGGAATAACCGATCATTTTGCTTTCCTTCTTCACTGCCTCAACCTCATATTCGCACAAAATGATTTCCTTATTCACTTTCTCAACCTCAGATTACAAAAACAACATAAAGGCGTGAAAAAAAATGATTACAAAAATTAATGTATATAGATGATGCTCTCTTTTTATTCTACCATATGGCTTACCTTTTTAATGGGCAGCGAGATGATGCAATGTACTCTATTGTTGTTGCCTTACTTTCAAGATTTTAGTTCTCAATATTTTCTGCTCAGAGTCTCAACTTTATCAACCACAAATCCAAACATCGATCCAAAACCTCTATATCTCTATCTGCAAATTCAATTCGAAAAAATAAGAGATCATACCTTTCAAGTGGAGGGGACGGTCTTGATGGAAATTTCAGTTGAGGCATTTGGTGTTTCGTGTGTTGAGGGTAGATTTGCAAAGTTTACAGCCCCGTCTTCCCAGTATGCTTCCCTCCCAGAACTGCAGAATCAATCCAACAACAAACTTTGAATCCTACTTTTCCAGAAAATGAAAAATAAAAAGATGTTGTAAACATTATGGAAATTGAATTGTTTTTTCCATTTTTAATAAATATATTCCTTCTCAATCAAATTTTAACTTTCAATCTGCCGATTACTTTTCAAGCTCACTAATTTATGATTTCCCTTCAAGGTAAAATTTTGAATGCCTTTCTCGACCCACGTTTCTATGGTAGAAAAAAAATATGTAAAAATAAATCTGAAGAAAGAAGAGTAAAAATAATACTAACAATTAAACAACATAATGAAAATCCATAAAATTACCTTTCAAGCCAAAGGAACTCACACACTGCACAAACACATCTCGCACCGTACTAGTCCACCTTCGGAGATTTAGGAGAAACTCCCTTTTTATTTTCTCTTTTTTACTTTTATGTGTGTTATCTAATGATACTATCATCATTTTCACTGCATCTTTTCTCGGATTTGCATCACTTGTCTACCTGGAACAACAAAATAGAACTATATTGCTTCAATAAGTAGATGTAGAGGAAAATTAAATGTTGAGCATCTTTTCTAATCCATAATAAATCAATATGGAATCCTCATAGCCTCCCTGGAAATCATTTAGCTTGATCGTAAATTATTGTATATGGTATTTTGTCCCACGTATAGCAACTCTGGAGGTTAAATTGTAATGTCAGTTATGCAACTTTTGGTACTCATGTTCTGTGGCCAGACTTTGGAAACAAAGAATATGTTCTCCAATATTTTAAAATAAAAATGATGGATCGAGCCACACCTCTTAATCCATCACTCGTTTCCTAGATCTCATGAAAAAAAATTATAAATAAATAATTGAAGGATATGAAAGCGATCTTATAACCTCATTTTCGATCCATGGTAAACCGTCATAAAAACACCTCACTAATCTAACAAATTTTAGAATTATGATTCAAAGAAATGAATGGTAAAACTAACGCAAGTCGGAATATGATAGGAGCACCATTCTTCTCAAGGGATGTAAGTTGAATCGAACTACACCCAACAAAGCCAACTCTTTAAGGGCTATTCGTTTCAAGGCCGAATTACAGTCTCCTATGAAAACACACCCTCTGCTGCTAAGTATTGTCGCCACTATCACTCCAAGACGATGGTCCGAACCTGTTAAAAACTCATCTTCCACCATCCATATCCGTTACATATGCGACCGTAAAATGGGGAGAGATGAAGTTTTTTATTGAGCTTTGGTAAACATGTGTGCAATTTGTATATGATCATGGAGGTTGATGATTAAATAATGATTGATATGGAAGTAGAAAGAAGAGAATGAATGATTTTGGATTTGAAGGAGATTTTGTGAACCTTAATTTTATGTGCTAGTATGAAGTTCTGTGATGGGAATAAGAGAGATATTATAGTTCTACAAATGGAGGTTTCCACCACGTCCGTCCCCATCTTCCACTATGAGAGAAAAGAGGAGCAGTTATTTCAGAAAAGAAAAACCGCCATAAAAAAATGAAAAAAGAAAATAGAAAGGAGTAACTTCCATGGGAAGTGGAAAGAATAGTTGGAAAGAAATTAAAGAAAACAGAAAAACGTGCGATTTTGAGGTTTAATAAGTTTTTTGTTGTTACTTTTTTTTCATTATTTGAACTGTATGGACCGGCAAAATAAAATCTAAAAAAAACTATTAAAATAGAAAATGACCAAAATGTCCCTAGGTTTAGGTCTAAGGTTACAGGTCAAAATATCTTCCTTTTATATATAAGATTTAAACTACAGTATTTATATAAATTTAATAATAAAAATTCATTCAGCAGAAGATTATATACACTAAATTTAAATAAAATAAAATTGGTCGCTAAAAAATAAAACAATTAATAAATAAAACATCTAAAGAAAATAAAACATGTAAACATAATTAGATAAATAAAAGACTGGTGTTGAAAAAATTATTCACTGATTGGTCTGAATAGTAAAAAAATTCTAATTAGAAAATTAATATAACAAATAATAATTATAAAAATATTTGAGTCCTTGTTGTAGCACAAATATTTTTTTTTTATTAAAACACAGTCAGCACTCGCGCCCAAACCGGGCGCGGAAAGTTGTGTTGGGCGCCCAAACCGGGCGCGGGAAGTACTTTTCCGCGCCCAAACCGGGCGTGAATCGAGCTTTGTTGCACCCAGTTTGGTCGTGAAATGTATTTTTCGGCGTCCAAATTGGTCGTGAGTCGCGTTTTCGCGATTTAAAGAACAAAAACGAACAAATTTTACCTCATTGGGTTCCGTATCTCGATCCTCATTCGACGCACTCATTTTTCTTTGCAAATCGCTACAATAACATGGGTTTTGGAACGATTTCTAATATAAAAGCTATTTAAAATAAAATTGTAGAGAGAGAAACATAAGTAGAGAGTGGATTTTTTAAACCCTCAGTCGTAATTTTGCTACCGCGAATATCACCTTCCTTAATTCATCATAAATCCAAATATTGAGACCACACACACATAACCAACCTTCATGAACATAATTCATTGTGTAGAAATGGAGAAAACAAAGAGGTGTGACGGTGTGGAAAAATGAGTATGTTGCGCCTACTACCTACAAATTTCCAATTCATTACATTTTCAAGAAAACAATTGACCATGTGTATTAGTTGGTCATATAAGTAGGTACACGTCATACTTCCATCCAAACTAGCAACAAATCTAATGGTAGGACGAAAATTGAAACAAAATGACATCATCAGAGACAACTATTGTAACTCAAAAATATTTAGGAACAGTATTGAAAAAGTGAATAAAGTTTGAGGACGAAAAATATAATTTCTCCATATAGAGAGAAGAAAAAAGGGTATTCCTATCTAATTCCTCTAAAAATTTTGAGAACACCAAATGAAAAACAATTCTTATTTTATTTTTATCAATGGGGGATATATTTTATGCTTTCATTTTTAATGTAGGCTTGATAGATCACTGTTAGAAGCTTTAATAAGAAGCATTTTTATTTTGTTTTTATTAATTCTCCAAAATAAAATTGTAATTGTTAAACTTTTGAATTCATTTTCGCAAAGCAATTTCAAAAGTTTCTCTCTCTTTTAGATATGATGTGACTGGTAAAAAAATGTCTTCACTAATAAACAAATAATCATTAATTTTTTTTTCTCTCCTTTCAAAATTTTCTTCTAATGTACATTTATCTAACATCTTTAAACATGATTTGACTACTGCAATTTATTTTTTCCCCTTCTAAAATATAAACAAACATTACTTTTATTCTCAAATTTTTCCCCCAAAACTTATTTTTGCAAAATGAAATCAAAATAAGTTTCCTAACACTGCCTAAGATCATAGCTCTTTATCAATGTAGATCATATTTTATGCTTTCATTATCAAATGTAGGGTTGTGACTGGGTTGGGTCGGTCGATCACCAACCTAAAAACCGACTCATCTGACAAACCAAATTCGCTCAAATTTGGAAACATCGATCCAACCTTTGTGGGTCGGTTGATGGTTGACAATCAAATATTTGGTTGTGATATGTGTCGGTTGATGGTTATGCCCGCTACACATTATGCCTAGTGCCACTCACCATGATCGTTTATCAGTTCAAAATAGTTAATAGCAATTCGACGAAAAAATATAATTCCAAAATTATAGTGGAAGATTTATGTCAACATTTTTTCCTCATTCATTTTTTTTATTTAATTTAAAATGCTAATTATTTTGGTAATTTCAATACTCACTTATAAGAGAAAAAAACGCCCATCATTTTAAATTTTTTAATAAAATTTTACTACTATAGTTGGTTGACTGGTAATTATCGATCAACCGACTTTTTGATAATATTAGAAACCATCAACCAATCCATTACAGATGGGTTGGTCGAAATTTCAGATCAGATCCAATGAATCGGTTAAAAATTTATTATCCGCCTAAAAATATGATCAGTAATGAATGACTGCTGGGTAAAAATCAACCCAGTCCCGGCCCTAATCAACTGTATGCTTGTAACCATTTTCAGTTTAGGCTTGATTGACCAGTCTTGCAAGCTTTACAATTCTAAACCAAACAAATTTCTTTATCGATGTAGACTATATTTTATGCTTCTACTTTTAAAGATATGTTTATAACTAAGGTTATTCTACCTTCATAACAACAAATTCATTTTAAATATTTCCCATTTGAAATCATTTCATTTCAAATTCTTCGATCCCAATGCACCCTAAGAGTTGAGATCACGCAGTTTAATTAATTTCACGAAAAAAAGATAAAATCCATCCACCTTCATTTCCCATAACTGCGGTTTCCCATTTTTCACTTGAGCAAATAGGAGCTTAAGACATTCAGATATCAATATAACCAAGACGAAGCAGAATAGCAATGGCTGAGGCTTAGAAGCTATAAGTAAAATCCAAATAACGAGAAACAAACAAAAAATGGTAATTCGAGTAGTTACAACTAAATAACAAAACATGGAATTTCCGTAAAACTCAGATCTAAGGTCAGCCACAACAACAAGATATCAGCCCCGGAGAGGTAAAAAAAAAAAAGAGATTGTGGATTGCAATACTCTTTCACTTGAAAGTGGAAAGCCTTGGAAGCTTATCTCGCAAATAGTATAACCTTGCTCTTCGGACTTTCCGGTGGCTCAGTACTCTTATCTCTTTAATATTTGGTGAATATCTGCATAAAAAGGACACAAGATAATCAAGTTCAGTATCCATGATCTTGATATAATATAGAAATTACTCATCAAAAAAAAAAGATATAATATAGAAATTACAAATGTTTACGATAAGAATAATCCGATGGAAAATGACTGTTATAAGAATAGCCTATCCTAACAAAGTGCTTCAGTATAGTCTAAAAACAGGCAGTTATTTTCGATAAGACCATTCAAATGCACCTGTTACAAGTTGGTCTTGTCAACAATTGGATTCGCAATTATTTATGATAAATCACTATGAAAATGAGAAAATGGCAGCACAGATTTCACTTCAAAGAGTTCTTTGGTAGTGCAATACAATAATATAAAGCCACACTGCAATTTGCTTATCCACGCCACTACTGCTAGGGATATGTATTTGTTAAATCAAATTACTCCTAGAATTTGTAATCGAAAAGATGAAAAGATTGAAAGTCTATGGTTATTTGTCATGTGTTATGCAATTGACTCTTTTATTTAGCAGATACAAAAGCAAAAATGGTAAACGGGAAATTAAAAGACGCATGATGACCACATGTTGTTAAAAATGTGAAATGACCCTTTGAGACTGTCTTCTTAAGAGTGAATACTTACACAGGGAACACAATTTCAACTCCAACACCAGCAATGACACGTCGAATCCGGATTGTTGTGTGGATGCCAGCATTTTGCTTTGATATAACTATACCTTTATACACAGACAACCTGCGCTTATTCTCTGGAACTTCCTGTAAATAAAATAAGAATTCCCAAATTTAAATATTACACAGTTTCGATAATTTGGTAAATATCATTAGAACCTATATAAATCGAAAATACATGAAGTGTTACCAGTTTGATTTCCACAACATCCCCTGTACGAAGATCTGGAGTAGGCCTTGTCTTATCTGATGCTTCAATTGCTCTTTTGTTCAATATCTGTTTTATGACAACCGCAAAAGTGGAAACCTTAGACAACAATAAACAATTCAATTCTATTCTATTTCCAAGAACTCGGAGATAACAAAAAGCCTATATAATAGATGAAAGACTGGATAAAGGAATTAGATTCCGTACTAAAACGAGCAGGACAGTTTACTGATTTAAATGTAAAGCAACGAAAGTTATTTCCTAATATTAGACAATTGTTAACACAATGCTTATTAAATCCCAAACGTTGATAACCGAAATGCATAAAATATGAATTTTTGACACGTTGGATCATAATTGAGATTAAAAAGGTCAGTTAACTCTTCACCTAGTCATAGTTCATACTTCATAGTTAGTTCAATATTATATTAACTTAAATGAACTTCACTATAACTTCAGTTAATAAGACGATTTAAGAAGCTAATGAATGAATTGAAACATAAACTCAACAGCTGTTACATAAAATTTACTGAAGTTTTACATAAGATTGTGATTGTGGTACATTTTGTGCTTGAGTACTTCATCAAAAGCATTTTGTATATTCCACCAGAGTTCTTCATTACTTCCTATCTGACATAGCTAAAAGAGTAATCAACTAGGTTACTTTTGTTATTCGTAATCCACGTGACATACTAAACACCACATGCCGATCCCATTCTTTCAGACAAAATTCATATCTCCTTTATCTTCAGAAATTCGAAACATATCACTATTTATTTTCTCAGTTGAACTGACAAGAATGAGGTATGAGCGTGCTTCAAGGTTTATTCCGAAGTTCATCCACTTATATAGAAGCCGAATAAGCCAGAAACGTTTCGTGCTAATTGGGAAATTGATAATAATAACAACTCCGACGCACATACAATATTGAACACGGCATGCCGATCCATTCTAGATGCAATTCCATACTCAATTCTTTTATACAGATATCACCATATCTACTACTGGTTGAAAACAGAATTTCAAGTCCATTTAGCACTCATAAATTATTCATTCAAGAAATAGGATGCCAGCCAAGAAATTCACCACTGACAAAATTTAGAGGAAATGGAATTTAATTTCCAACAGTTGATATCAAATGAATGGAAAATGAGAAAGATTACCCCCATAATATCTCCAAGCTTGGTTCTGGGTGGTGCACGTGGCAAAACTTCAGCCTCTTCAGCTTCCACATTATCACCGCCTTCTTCAATTTCCACTTCCACTTCAGCATTTGATTCTTCTTCAGCCTTCACAACGAAAGACCAATTTTTACCCCTTTCTGATAAACTGAAGCCATAAGAACTCGTCGGAACCCTAGACACCAATCCTCCGGGGCAGGGGCGCCGCCGTGACACCGCTGCCGAAAACGCCAGGTTATTCGACCGGCACTCGAACGTACTTCTAGGAACCATGAACAAGGCCTGTAAGAATTACAAAACATGAAGGAAATTAATACTGAATAGTGTTATCTACAATCCAGAATACAAAATGGATGAACAAAGAGGAGAAAAACGAGGGTACCTGGTGAAGAAAGCTGGAGGCCATGGTTGAAGGTATGTTAGCTTCTTCAATATGTGATTTCAGAGAGGATAGAAATTCATGGAGTGATGCAGTAATTCAGATAATATGATTTTTAGAGCAATACAGAGTGGTAGCCTTATCCGAAGTATTTCTTTTTAAAGATTGAAATTGTTTCAATTTTGCACCTTCAACTCTGGTACCTTATTCGTTTTGGTCCCTGTAATTTAGTCCATATCGATTTTGGCCACCAAACTTTTAAAAACCTTCCTATAATACCTGGCTTTCACTAAGAAGTAGCACTTACATAGATGCAGTGGGTCCACTCCTGTGCAACAGCCTGCAAACTAGACGAGACGAGACGAGACGAGAGATGTAAAATAAACTAGACATAAATCACGTGTGAGAACCTCTCAATTTTGAATTATTTGACAATATTGATTTTGAATGAGAGTCATTTGACATCTCATTCTCCTACTCCACCAACTAGACCATCCTTGTTGGGCAGTTGTTGGGCAGTTATACCAATGTTTTACTATAAAATGGGACTATTGCTTAAATTGGATAAAATTGAGTGGAACTCCAATGGCCACGAGCAAAGTTTTAAATTTATTTCCAATGATTTAATAAATTTACGCCAAAAATACTAAAACACGTTGAATCCTAGTTCTTCCAGAAACGATTCTATTATGGGTTTCTTCTCGAATCGATCCTATGGTACATCATGTTGGTCTGAAATGAAAGAACACGAGTATGATTCATTTCTTATAATATTCAAATCTCAATTAGTTTGAATCTGATTTTTATTTTATTTTTGAGTATTCAAAATTATGATAACGCTGTTTTTTAATGTATGATGCAAGTTAATTAGATTGGCGATCAACAAGATGTTAGTAAAACCGGTACTTTAAAAAATTGGTTGCTTTAGAGCATCTCCCACCCTTAACACAATTTTTTCACCAAATTCTATTTTCTGTGGTGAAATAATGGTGTTATCCCCACTCGTAGCACACAACTCTATAATTTCTCGATTTTTAGTGATAAAATAGTATATTTGGTTTCATCAAATTTTACACCAAATAATAAAATATTAATATTTCACCATTTTGCCATTTATAGATAATGCGATTTGGTTTGGTCTCCCATATCATTTCACCAAATATATCACAAAATTATAAGTTTAAAGTTAATTGCAAAATTAGTCTATTTTATTACCAAAATATTGATTATGAATTTAATCTTAACCAATGATTTTATTAAGTATATAATTTAAAAATTATGATAAATATAAAAAAATTATTGAAACATGAATGAAAATCGACTTAGATTATTATACATAGGGCAAATTACGGCCCTCCCCCTGAGTTATGGTCAAATTACGAACACCCCCTCCTGTCTGGGTAATTACAGTTAACCCCCTCAACTATGTATTATCTTATGAAAATACCCCTCCAGAGGTAAATTTAGGGATGTTAAATCGGTAAAACCAAACCGAAATTTCGGTACGCCAACATTTCATACCGTTTACCGAACTGAATATACGATTTGTGTTCGGTAAATAACCGAATTACATTAATTTTATGTAAAAGTATTTAAAAGAAGGGGGTGGTTGTAATTACCCAAACAAGAGGGATTTTTCGTAATTTGGCCATACCTCAGGGGAGTGCCCGTAATTTGGCCTTATACATATAATAAAACCACACGTAAACAATAATTTCATAAATTATTACCTAAAAACGTTACAACATAAATTAATCATAAAAACATTACAATATATTTTTTTGGCAAAAAAAATTATTTCATTGGTAATCACATGAAATTAGTTAATATAATAATTTTAGGGGTCATTACAAATAAGCCCGTCACTGGGTACTTATTCATAAAGAGATGCAGACAAAAACTCATTTACCAATAAGTCCACACATGGTCCAGATTTTTGTAAAGGGATAAAATAACCCCTCATACTTTAATATGCTCCAATTTCATCCTTAACTTTATTTAACCTCAATTTGACCCCCAATTTCACAAATTATTCAATTTTGACCCAATTTTTTTTTTAACCGCCGGATCCTGGCGTTGACTTTTCAATTTTTTTTTTCTTCCGGATTTTTTCGCCGGTTTCCGGCATTGACTTTTTTGATTTATTTTTCTTCCTTTCTGTAACTTTTTTTTTTCGTTTAAACAACAATATTGCTGTGATTGACAGTAATATTAACTATATTACTGTTAAACACATTAAAATTAACTAAACTACAGTTTAATACAGTAATATTGCTATATTAATCTCTAGCACAGTAATATTAACACAACAAAACTCATTATTATTGTATAATAGAGTAATATTACTATGTTGACCGTTCAACAAATGTAAACATAATAAAAAGCCAAAAGAATGAATATTATTGTGAGTGACAGTAATATTACTATAACAGCAGTAATATTATAATAGACAGTAATATTATTACGTTACTCCGTGAATAACTCAAACAAACAAAAAAATCCAAATAAAATAATAATACTGATGTGGCTGACAACAATATTACTATAACAACAATAATATTACCGTCAACCACAGTAATATTATTGTGTTTACAGTAATATTACAATAATATACAGTAATATTATTATGTTACTCCGTGAATAACTCAAACAAAACAAAAAACCAAAAAATTTATAATATTGATGTTGTTGACAGTAATATTATTGTGTTTACAGTTATTTTACTGTCAACGACAGTAATATAATTTCGTTGACTTGTCAACAAAAAAAAAATATATATATATATATATATATATATATATATATATATATATATTACGTTAATTTACTTTCAACGACAGAACAATTACATAAATGTATTGTCAACGGCAGTACAATTACGTTAATTAACTGTCATTGATAGTATAATTATGTTAATTTACTGTCAGTGACAGCAAAAAAACTCTAAAAAAAAGTCAACGTCGGAAACCGGCGAAAAAATCCGGAAGAAAATAAAAAAAAAATCAACGCCGGAGACCGGCAGCAAAAAAGAAAATTGGAAAAAAAAGATTTTGAAAAAAAAAGTCAAAATTGGAAAATTGGTTGATGTGGTCAAACTTGGTTGATGTGGTCAAAATTGGATTTTTGTGGACAAAATTGATTAAATTAGGGTTACAATTACGAATTGGGTATAAAGAGTTGGGGGTAATATTGGCATATACATGAATGTTTCCTTTATTTATAATAAATATTAAAGGGATGCGCTTATTGGTGAAAGAGATATAGCCCCTAAACGTAGAATAATAAAGATGCTTGGTTGGGGACTTATGCACAAAAACCCCATAATTTTATATGCTAATTATAGAGTGGTGTTAATTACACCAAATCATATTTTCACTTCTATATTTGATAGAAAAAATAGGATTTGGTGGAAAAAATTGTAAAATAGTGGAAGGGTGTGAGATAAAAATTTCTTCACCAAAAAATTTGGTAAAAAATGTAGGATTTAGGGATATAGTGATATAAAGTTTGACAAGGGTGGGAGACTAAACTAAATAACTATAATTTTAGGTGTAATGGTAATTAAAGATTTAGGTTGGGAGACTAAAAACACCTAAATTATGTGATAAATATGAGATTTGGTGATAAGTGGGAGATGCTCTTATGATTCAACATTATTTAACTTAGTAAAAAAAAATGAATATTTAGTTGCATGAAGAATAAAAACGCATAAATCTACAATAAAAGATACCAATTAAACATTTTTTTTAATTGTCAGAGGATACTACAAAAAAGACGAATTATTTTTTTCTCTTCTTTTTTACTCGATAATAATAGGTATTAAAGTAGTAAATAGTGATATGCCGATGGCATTTTTCAATCTTGTATGATAATGGATGCACAAAAAACCCTAATAAAAAAAGGGGGCAACTAAAACAAATCCCAATTTTTCTCACTTCAGTACCTCCAAGTTTAAAACCATTTTTTATAGAAGTTTTTACAACTTTTTCTTAGTTTAAAACCATAAATAAAAAAAAATTGTTAGCAAAGTACAAAAACGCCCTTCATCAACCAAAATACAATTTATACAAACAATTTTTTTATTTCTCACTTCAATACCAAAGAAAAAAAAGAAAAACAAATCCTCTCTTCTTCTCCCCAAACTCAAATCCCTTAAACCATATCTTCTTCATCTTCTTAAATCCTCCAAAACATCTCCAAATTCAAAAAATCAAAATCTCACAAAACTTATAAAATAGAGTTATAAGACAATAATATGGAAGTATGTATGGAAAGACAACCCATTAAGGTATGTATCCATGTTTTTTTTTTTTAGCTTCAAAGTCGATTTTGAAGTTTTTTTTTTTGAAACCCGCCGGCAATTTTCGACACATACAGGTCGATTTTTTGGTCAATTTTCGACACCAACGTGTCGAAAAATATAAAAAAAAAAAAAAAAAATTTCGACTCATACCTGTCGAAATTTCTCTCAATTTCGACAGGTATGTGTCGAAAAAACACTGTTGGTAAAAATAGTGAAAATATAATTTCGCTTACAAAAGGCTACGGATGACCGATGAATTATCCAAAATAGGGTAATCCTAATTACTATTAGCAGATATCGTCTAATAATGAATTTGGACCGATCGGAGGAAGAGAACGGTAGAAAATAGCTAAAACCGTATCAAACGTATTGATAAGCATATTATACGAATAAAACCACATAACTAGATTAAGAGCCAACACTATCCACAACCCCTCCATAACGATCTCCTTCCGATACTCGAGCTCGATCCACAACTTCACTCCTCGGGCCCTAAATCGGGTATACCTACAAACATACAACAGCTATATGAGTCTTTGAGGACTCAATGAGAATCTTGAAGTAATAGCAAATACACATAGCACATCGAGCATACATATATCTATACATATCTCT